CTGTAGCGAACTCAGTTGCCGAATGGACCCATAATAATAACTGTTCAATTCTTATATGACCATCGTTGTTAACAAGTACTCCACGTATTAAATCTACACTGCGCTTCGTTCCTGAATGAGGTTCTGTTAATGGATATCCATTTCACATGTGATCGTCATTCGTGACAAGTTCTGTACGCACTCACTCTGAAGTGAACTTAGTTGCTGAATAGTCTCCTGCTAATGATTATTCATTTCTCATGTGATTATCACTGTAAACAGGTTCACCAAGCATTCGCCCTCAACTGAACTTGGTTGTTAAATGCATTGCTGCTAATAATTATTCCTCTTTTATGTAAACAGCATTGTTAGCACGTTTTGCAAGCATACCTTCTCAAATGAACTTGGTTGTCCAATACCCTCTTGCTAATAACTATCCTTTTCTGACGTAACCCACATTATTTATACATGCTGCAAAGATTCACTTTAAAATAAACTCAGCTGCTGATCGGGCAGCTTTTAATAATAATTCCTTTCTTACATAATAACCACTCGTTATGCATGCTGCATGGATTCACGCTGAAATGACTTCAACGTCTGAATAGGCCTCTCCTAATAGCTATTCATTTTTGATGGGATCATCAATCTTTTCATATGTCAGAAGGATCTACTTCGAAGTCAGGATAGTCGCTGAACGAACTTCTGGTAATAGCTATTCATTTCTCATGTCATCAACAATGTTCATTTATGCTGCAAGAATTCATTTTAAAATGATCTCAGCTGTCGATCGAGCTGTTGTTAATAACAATTCCTTTCTTACATAATAACCACTCGTTATGCATGCTGCAAGGATTGACGCTGAAATGACTTCAACTTCTGAATGGGCCTCTCCTAATAACTATTCATTTTTGATGGGATCATCATTCTTTTCATATGTTAGAAGGATCTACTTCGAAGTCAAGATAGTCGCTAAATGAACTTCTGATAATAGCTATTCATTTCTCATGTCATCAACAATGTTCATTTATGCTGCAAGAAGTCACTTTGAAATAAACTCAGCTGTCGATCGAGCTGTTCTTAATAACAATACTTTTCTTACGTAACCATCACTCTTTACACACGCTCGGAGTTAATTACTCTCAAGTGAACTCAATTGCTGAATGGACCCCTCCTAATAATTATTCATTTCTGATGGGATTATAAGTCTTTGTAGATCGTAGAAGGATGTACTTCGAAGTCAAGCCACTCGCTGAATGAACTTCTGCTAATAGCTATTCATTTCTCATGTCATCACCAATGTTCATTTATGCTGCAAGAATTCACTTTAAAATGAACTCAGCTGCTGATCGAACTCCTGTTAACAATAATTCCTTTCTCACATATTCATCACTCTTTACACACGCTGAATGGTAATCACTCTCAGATAGACTCAATTGCTGAATGGACCTCTCCTAATAATTATTCATTTCTCATTTGATCATCATTTTTTATAAGTAGTGCAAGCATTCACTCGGAAGTGAACGTAGTTCTCTGTTGGAAAACTGGTAATAATGATTCTTCTCTAATATGATCAGTATTGTTATCATGTACTACAAGCATTCATTCTGAAGCGAACAAACTTGCTGGACGCACTCATTTTCAACAGTATTTATGTCTCATGTGATCATGATAGTTAACGCGTGCTGCAAGGCTTCACTCTCGTATGATCTCAGCTGTTGAACGGGCTTGTGCTGAACACTGTTGATTTCTCATGCGATCATCATTGTTAACAGGTACTGCAAACATTCACTCTGAAGTTAACTCAATTGATGAATGGACTTCTATTAATAGTTATTGGTTTGTTATGCGGTCATCATTCTTAACAAGTGCTACAAGCATTGGTTGACGACTGAACTTGGTTGTTGAGTTCATGTCTATTAATAATTAGTCCTTTCTTATGTAATCATCATCGTTGGCAGATACCATAAGGGTTCGCTCAAAAGTGAAGCTAGCTGCTGAATACACTCTTTTTAACGACTATTCATGTCTCATATGGTCATCAATGTTTATACATGCTCCAATGATTCAGATCGAAGTGAACTAAGGCGCTGAACGGACTCCTCTTGATTATTATTCATTTGTCATGTGATTATCATAGTTAACAGCTGGTGTCAGCATTCACTTTCAAGTGAGCTCAGTTTCTAAATGAAGCTCTCCTAATATCTATTCATTTCTCATGCGATGATCGATGTTTATACTTACTACAAGAATTCAGATCGAAGTGAACTCAGTTGGTTAATGGATTCCTGGTAATAGTTCTTCGTTTCTCATGTAATCATCAATCTTCACACATGTTAGAAGCATTCACTATGAAGTGAACTGTGCTGGTGAATAGGCTGCTTTTAATCGTTATTCATTTTTCTTGTGAGCATCATTGTTAGTAGTTGCTAGAAGCATTCACTCTGCAGTGGACCTAGTTGCTGGTTGTACTCCTCCTAAAAAATTTTCGTTTCTCATATCGTCATCATTATTAATGAGTGCTGCGAGCATTCAGTCTCAAATGAACTCAGTTGCTAAATGGACCTCTCCTGATAATTATTCATTTCTCATACGATGATTGATGTTTATATTTGGTGCAACGATTCAAATCGAAGTGAACTCAGTTGGTTAATAGATTTCTGGTAATAGTTCTTCAGTTCTGATGTGATTATCAATCTTCACACATGTCGGAAGCATTCACTCCGCAGTGAACACAGTTGTTGGTTGGATGCCTCCTAAGAATTTTTTGTTTCTCATATGATCATCATTGTTGGCAGGTAATGTAAGCATTTACTGTAAAGCGAATTCAGTTGGTTAATGGATTCCTGGTAATAGTTCTTTAGTATTGATGTCATCATCAATGTTTATACGAACTACAAAGATTCACGTCGATATAAAGTCAGTTGTTGGCTGAGCATCTGTTGAAAGCTATTAAGATTTCCTTTAGTGATCGTTATTAGCAGCTGCTGCAAGTATTCACTATGAAGTGAACTGGATTCTTGAATGAATTCCTTGTAGAAATTATTCCTTTCTTACAGGATTATCATTGCTATCAGGCTCAGTATGCATTCACTCTGAGGTGAAGTCATTTGTTTGATAGACTCCTCCTAATAATTATTCATTCTTTATGCGATTATCTTTGTTATACTTTGCATTCAGGATTGGCTCTGCAGTGAACTTAGTTGCTGAATAGATTCCTCCTAGTAATTATTCATTCTTTATGTGATTATCTTTGTTATAATTTGCATTCAAGATTGACTCTGCAGTGAACTTAGTTGCTGAATGGTTTTTTCCTAATAACTATTTGTTTCTTGTATGATCACCATTGTTATCAGGTTCGGCAAGCAATCATTCTGAGGTGAACTCAGTTGATTAATGGACTCCTGTTCGTAATTGTTCGTTCCTTATGTAGTTATCGTTGTTATGATTTGCGTCAAGGATGGACTCTGCAGTGAACTTAGTTGTTGAATGGACTCCTGCTGGCAATTATTCGTTCCTTATGTAGTTATCTTTGTTATAATTTGCATTCAAGATTGACTCTAAAGTAAATTTGGTTGCTGAATGGACTCCTGCTGGCAATTATTCTTTCCTTGTGTGATCATCATTGTTATCAGGTTTAGTAAACAATCACTATGAAGTGAAGTCAGTTGCTTAATGGGCTCCTTCTAGCAATTATTCGTTCCTTATATGATTGTCTTTGCTATAGCTTACATCAAGGATTAACTCTGAAGTATACTTAATTGCTGATCGACGTCTATTAGTAATTATTTCTTCCTTGTGTGATCATCGTTGCTATCAAGTTCGGTTAGCATTGACTTTGAGGTAAAATCAGTTCTTTAATGAACTCTTGTTGATAATTAATGGTTTCTTATGTAGTCGTCATTCTTAGTAGGTGCCGCAATCATTGAGGTTGAAGTGAAAACAATTGGTTTATGGACTCCTTGTTATAATTATTCGTTTCTGGTAGAATTATTAATATTCACGTATGTTACAAGAATTGACTTCGAAGTTGACTCAGTTGGTGAATGAAATTCTGATAATATATATTCATTTTTCATGTGATTATCATTGCTACGAGGCTCAGTAAGCACTAAGTCTGAAGTGAACTCTGTTGCAAAATGATCTCCTCTTAATAAGTATTCATTTCTTATGTGGCTAACATTATTTCTCCATGCCGGAAGCATTCACTCTGAAAAGAACTTGGCTGCTGTATGGTCTCCTCTTAGTGAATATTCGTTTCTTGCGTGATTGTTGCTGATATTAGGTTTGGTAAGCATTCACGCTGAAAATAATTTGGTTACTAGATGGGCTCCTGATAATGAGTATTCATTTCTTATGCGATCATCATTGTTATCAAGTTCGGTAAGCACTGTTTCTGGCAGGGAACGTGATTGCTGAACGAGCTGTACTAATAATAGTTTATGTCTCATGTGATGGTTGTTGTTATCAGGTTTGGTAAGCGTTCACGCCAAAGTAAACTCTTTTGCAGGATGACCTCTTGATAATGAGTATTCATTTCTTATGCGATCATCATTGTTATCAAGTTCGGTAAGCACTCCTTCTGGCAGGAACGTGATTGCTGAACGAGGTGTGATAATAATAGTTTATGTCTCATGTGATGGTTGTTGTTACCAGGTTCAGTAAGCATTCACGCTGAAAATAATTTGGTTGCTGAATGGTCCCCTGATAATGAGTATTCATTTCTCATGTGACCGCCATTGTTAATAGGTGCTGCAAGCGTTCAGTATGAAATGAACTTAGTTGTTGGATGATCTCCTGGTAATGAGTATTCATTTCTCACATGATCATCATTGTTGGTAGATCCTGCACGCTTTTACTTTGAGCTAAACTGGTTGGTAGAATTCAAGCGTCCTGATAATTATTCGTTTGCGATATGATCCTCGAGACTGCCATGAAACGAAAACAGATTCTCCCAAGTATACTCTGTATCGGGATGGAGAGATAATGATAATTATTCTTTTTCGATGTGGCTTTTTTCAGTGATGCCGCGAATAGCAGATCCTTCTTGTAAAGCTAACATAGCAGCTGAACAAAATGGTTTTAGGAAGTATTCATATTAGTTGTTATCATACGGGATTTGGTGAATTTCACATCTGCGTTTTGAGGGAGCGAAATATTTCTATTGAGCAATGGTGCGAGGATTTTACTGATGATGTCATGTCTAGTGTTGTCTGGAGATGCTGCTTTTGTTAATATTGGTTGACATACTCGAACAAAACTCTCCTTCGAGTTATTCATTACGGATATCCTTTTTTCTTATAAGATGAACTGTATCATTTTCAAGGATAATAGGAAAATACCTGAACGGAGTTTTTGTTAAACGTGTATGATCAACATATGATATCCCTCGTTTTCTTGCGGTGCAAAAATCTTTGCTTATGCAAGAGTAATATCTGAACTGGAACATTGCAAGAGACGATCTGTTAACTTCTGTTGATCGACTATGTATGTTTTCAGTATTTTTGGGATGAGAAGGAGTGAATTGACGAATAACACTTCAGTAATAATCGTTCAATTATTGTATGTTGCTAGATGATGGTGAAAACCAGTAGTATTTGGCACAGTATGAGTCGTAGAAAAAGAATCAATCTTTTATGTATAATATTCGTTTTTCATGTAATATTGGACGAAAAGGTTGGATCAAGAGTCTCATTACAAAGTAGTCCAATAGTTTACGTGAAATGTTGTTCAAATTGTTGATATGCATTGAGATTTTTTATTATTTTTCTAATCTCTAACCACACTTATTAAGCAAGAAGAATAGATGAATAGATTTCTTGCACCTAACGTTTTTACTTTTTACGTTATTTTTGTCCTATTGCGTAGTCATACCGTTCACATCAAGGTTCACCAGATAGCTGAACAGAACTTGGGCTAAGATCATTCATTATTGTTGTTACTTACAAGTATATCATTAGCTGTGGACAATTGGTTAACACTGAACATGGAAGTTTACTGAACACTAATTGGAAATATTCTATTTTTAGAGGATCTTCATTGATCTGAACAGCTTCTGAAGAATGCTTTACATATAGCAAAATAGTTAAAAGCAATTCTAGGTATTTATATTCAGTGTGAATATTATTTTCGTCATGACTCGTAAATATTTGCATTTATAGTTACGAGATAGTGAAACTGTGGCATGGTAAGCCTACGAATACACCAACACTTTCTACACTTCGATCGACTACAACAAGACCGCCTGTCATACTTCCACCAGCATGTTACAGTCCCACTGGTGCCAGCTGTGAATGGTATAAAGATTGTTTGGAGAAGAAATATCCATGCCAGGATCAACCAGCTGATTACGCTATGAAATATGCAACGAAGTATTGTGAGTTATATACAAAAAACTACAATGACTTTAGTGCAACTGGTCAGAAGTGGGTTGATGGTGTTCGCAAATGTTTACAAATAAAAATGGTTCCACTGATAAGTCAATCCTCGAGTAGTGTCACATGTGAAAAAATAAAGAATGAAGCATTCGCATCTCATACTCCATGTTACACAGATCCTTACCCCGATTCACCGCTGATTTCATTTTGCTATTTAGGCTTTAAAGATACATTTTTCGTATTTAACACAATCAAATCAGCATTTGGTACAGAATTTAAAGCTAGTATGGAAGGCTTATTTAGTACTATACAAAGCTGTTTTCAAAAAGATTTAGACGACGTAATGCATTTATTGAAGATGGTTGTTTCCATAAAACCTAGTGCACCAGTAAGTCGAATATCAGAAATGTTCCATGAAAGTGATGAACTAGCAAAATTAACAGCGGAGGGCATTGCTAATAGTGAATCATGGGATCCTGAACGCGTGGGCTATTTTCCATATCCTGCGGATACGTGGGTTGTGAGAGCAAAAACACATGAACAACAAATAACCATTGAAATACTTATAGCTGATAAATTAGCTTGGGATAATATGGATAATAAATTAATTTCAAATGATACGCAAAGCTATTTGGATCAAATAGTTGATCGTCTTGTTCAGTCAATTCAACAAGGAAAATTGGAGATTAAAACAACAAACGGAACATTTTACGTTGAAAAAATAGAGCAATGCCCAGATATGAACTGTGATACAACAGATGGAAACTTTGCAATACATTCGGTTAATATCAATGCATTTATAATCATGGGATTGATGTTTGTTCTGTTATTGAATAATTAATTCTTGTTCAATCCATAAATAGTATTCAAGAAACCTATTGTAACAATCATTTCTTTTTTCCGTTTCGGCTATACTATTATCATTTGTACTGTGTATTCAATCTATGATGACTCTATACTTCAAAGTTGAAAACAAATTATAGAAACTAAAAAGCGATTTTCAATTTTTCTCCATGTACGAATTTATAAGTGATTTTTATTTTTTCAAAATACATGATTTTTAAGAATTTTGCATTTTCCATATAATTCATTTTGATTTTACAGGGTGAGGGTGTGGCTAATGATGTGCGCAGGCGTGAGTGTTACTTCCATCTCACATCTACACCCACATCCATATGTACCCTTAGATGTTAAGGCCGATCATAATAACATAGTTATATTCTTATTTGTAAAAGAAGCATGAATAGGTACTGTTTGAAACTATTATTTTGTTTAAAAGTTATTTAAAACATTGATATCAAATAAATGTAGTACAAATATTCACTGATTGCATTTTTATAATTACAAATTACATAGACATTTTAACGCCTTAATAATTTTAATATTTTGTTCTCATTGTATAATTTATTAGTAACAACCAACAAATATGAGAATCGTAATAATATATGTGAGTTCTATGATTTAATAAAAAAACTGTGTCTTAAATTTGGTACGAACAGTTATTTGTAGATACAATTACTAATCTTATATAATTTCTCAATAATCTTATTATTGTAGACATACTCGTAATAAATATGTTCATATTCAATTCTAATAAAAATGAACAAAGAATATATTAGATTTCCATCAATATATCATTGTATTAAATAATTCTTTCAATGTAATTGTCGATATCGATTACATAGCATTTCATTGTTAAAAATACAAAAAAAAAGATTTCGTAAACACATCTGATCTTCATATCATGAAAAAATAAGAAGGATATAGAAAGTTATACTTCCAAGAGAAAAAATCTTTCGGTTGCCGTTGTCTCTCCCACAAAATAGTTAAGAAGAGTTGAACAACAATCAGAGAATTAACTGCTCTTAGTTGTGATAAATAGAAATATAGTTGATCTGTTCGTGATGTGTGTTTGCGAAGATACTGCATTTGCTATATATTGCCTTGAGCAGCACGTGGTGTTGCTCTGGCACCTCCGGCAGCTGTTGGAGCTTTCTTTTCAACATCTTTGATAACACCAGCAGCGACTGTTTGACGCATATCACGTACGGCGAATCGACCAAGTGGTGGATATTCAGAGAATTTTTCAACACACATTGGTTTCGACGGAATCATTTTTATAATAGCAGCTTCACCTGATTTAAGGAATTTTGGTGCTTCTTCAATAGTTTTACCTGATCGACGATCGACTTTTTCAAGTAATGCAACAAATTTGCATGCAATATGAGCTGTGTGACAATCAAGAATTGGAGCATAACCTACACTAATTCGACCGGGGTGATTGAGAACAACAACCTAATTTTAAAAGAAAAAAAAAATAACATTTAGAATCTAAAAACAGAGAATAATTAGTCTTACTTGAGCGACAAAGCTAGCTGTTTCTTGAGCTGGATCATTTCTAATATCTGATGCAACGAAACCACGTTTAAGTCCTTTTACACTGACGTTTCTAACATTGAAACCAACATTGTCACCTGGTACGGCTTCTGCAAAATATCAAACAACATGTATAATACATATTAACTAATAATCAATGACTATTTACCTTCGAGTGCTTCATGATGCGTTTCAATGTATGTAACTATAGTTTGGGTGCTTGATGGAGCAAAGTTAACAACCATGTATGGTCTGAGAACACCTGTTTCAACTCGACCAACCGCTACTGTACCAATACCACCAATTTTGTAAACATCTTGTAATGGTAATCGAAGTGGTTTGTCAGTTGGACGTGATGGCGGACAGATAGCATCAAGAGCTTCCAAAAGTGTTTTACCACTTGCATTACCTTCTTTTCGTTCAATTGCCCATCCTTTGTACCATGGCATTTTTTCAGTTGCTTCAATCATGTTATCTCCATGCCAACCTGAGATTGGTACGAAAGCAACAGCAAGTGGATTATAACCAGTATTTTTGATGAAGGATAGTACTTCAGTTTTGATTTCATGAAAACGGTTTTCTGAATATGGTGGTTCAGTTGTGTCCATTTTGTTGACAGCGACAATCATTTGGTTGACACCCAAAGTATAAGCAAGTAAAACATGTTCACGTGTTTGACCATTTTTGGAGATACCAGCTTCGAATTCACCGACACCAGCAGCAACAACCAAAACAGCACAATCAGCCTAAACAACACAGAGAAACATTTCATAGTTAAAGATATTATAGAAAGCAAACAGGATACGTACTTTTGATGTACCAGTAATCATGTTTTTGATGAAATCTCGGTGGCCTGGAGCATCAATGATAGTAACATAGTATTCAGCTGTTTCGAATTTCCAAAGTGAAATATCAATGGTGATACCACGTTCACGTTCAGCTTTCAATTTATCTAATACCCAAGCATATTTGAATGAACCTTTACCCATCTAAACATAGATTAATACAAAGAGGTAGTTAAATTCAATAGAAATCCGAAATCACAAATGCATACTTCAGTAGCTTCTTTTTCGAATTTTTCAATTGTTTGTTTATCAATACCACCACATTTGTAGATTAAATGACCAGCTGATGTTGATTTACCAGAATCGACATGCCCGATGACGACAATGTTAATATGAATTTTTTCTTTTTCCATTATTAAAAATGAATCAGTAAAAAGCGTACGTAAATGAAAGCAACCGAATTTATAACAGCGGTATATATACATGAATGTCTTGCGCAAGATGTACAAAATATTCCAACGATGAATAAATGTTTCATCGGTAGGGAAAAAATCCATAACTCTCGATGTAAAGTTTGTTGTATGTATAGTTAAAAAAATAAAGAAAGGGATAAATAAATAGTGATTGTAAACATACTGTGTCAGATGCACACCTGAAAAAAAAGAAAGACGAAAAAATATTCCCATAAAAATAATTTTGTGCATAAATCATTGATTAAACATACAAGAAGTTTGGTTGAAATGCACATGAAGATTCTGTCTTCATCATTTTAATTTGAAAAAAGTTTTGATAGTATTTGATAGGAAAAATTAATGATAATTTGTATTATAGATTATTTTCAAGCTATATACTGATAGAGCAAATGTAATACTAGACATTTCTCAGGCAGATATTTTAAGCGTACGAAGTGTATACCTCTATTTACAATCAATTAAATAATTCTTTCATACAGTATTTTATTTGCCTATAAAAATAATGTTTCGCATAGTGATAGACGGTACACAAATATTAATCTATTAGTTGTTTGAAATGTTTTCATCTTCATGAAATAGATGAAACACCGCATATTATCGCAAAATAAAACGACAAATTTTAATGCATATGTCAAGGGTGTGGGTGTGGGTGTGGGTGTATGTGTATGTGTCATACAGTCTTCTATTTATTCACACCCACACCCACACCCACACCCACCCACACCCTAATTAAGTCAGCTTTTTTACAGCAAAATAACATTTGATTTCAATAATAATCTTTTTGTTATTCTCTTTTCTAAAAAAAAAGAATTATACAGCGTTTAAATCCTTGGCTTAGAATCAATGATGCAGATCGTTTGTTAGCTGAAGCTGATAAGGAGAAAGCACAAGCTGTGATGGTAATAACGCTATATGAGGGACTAAATAAATATCCCCAACCTCACCAGCACCCTCAAGATAGTTTTATTAACTTTTTTATGCTGATATATTATGCCATCAGATGAAATCTTTTGAAAGATCAAAGCATTTCTTCAGTGTCAGTTCGACAGACTCATTTGAGGTTTCATAGAACATATAACCAGTTCATTCATTTAGTATATCTCAGCACTTCTGCTCGATTTTACTACAGAAAATAAAAATATATGAAAAGCACACAACAGACAGACAAGATGAAATATGAATAATATTGCACAGAATATAGTTTGTGTAAAGTTGACATAGTTTCTTCTAATCTTTACCACTTAGTCTAATAAACACATGAAGTATTGCAAAATATTTCTTCATCAGTCTCTATTATCTCTATAACAAACGTTTTCTGTGTTTGCGCCATTCATTACCAATCAACATGTTACCATTTCACTTGATGATCATTCTAACGAGCTATAAGTAAATATTGAATATCTTTTTCCAAACATGATTTTCGAATGCAACAGTACATCGACTGACTCGTCACGAAAATCAAACAAATAAATAATGTCTTTTGTATTTTTTATAATAGTCATGTCATTGAAACTGAATGGGCTGATTAAGAAGGAGTGCGTCTTCGAATACGAATGAATGACTGTTTAAACGCTTTCATATACAATTCTGAAGGAAAGACAAAGATAAGAAAAATTAGCATCGAAGGAGTAAGTGAAATGAAATATGGTCCAAGATACAACCACAAGTTTTCAGATGTTTTCACACAACCAGGAAGTAGTGAAATGATGAGACGAGGTATTGATAGAATAAGTAAAACTATTGGACTAATGATCAATTGTTTATGTTCACGAAATTGTTCTTGAACATGTTCTTTAAAATTTTGATTAGTTCGTGCCATTGATCGTTGTTGAGCACCTCCAAAGATAATGAACAACGCAGAGCAAAGATTGACAATAAATGGACCAACAAGATAAAAAAAAAGAACGGCTGTATTGTAATCTTGGACTGAAGGAGAATAACGAGTGATACATGATACATGTCGCTTGATTGTGTCTACACTTGTCTTATTAGTATTTATCTTATCCAGTCCTGTTTCATAGACGAACAGTTGACGATATACAAACTCGTGAATAAGAGTACCAAAAATACAGAATGGTAAAATAATAATTGTTCGTCGAGCAATAGATTTGCTCTTTTTTTTATCAAATTTTACTCCTTTAAAAATAAGTACTGCTCGTTCAACTGCTACACAAGCATTAAGCCAACCATCTAAGTAGAGAAAAAGTTTTAGAATTGGTTCAATAGATGAACATCCTCCACGAAGAATAGAGAGACTAGTGGACGCATTGATATGAGTAAGAACAACAAACCAAAACTTAATTATGAACATACTAATTGCCAAAAGAGAAGTAATCGATGATGCCAATAGATACATTCCACATCCAACCTGTTGAGAATCTTTATGTTGAAATGTAATAAAAGAAAGAATACTATTGATTAATCCTGCAACAAACATAATTATTGTTAAGCCTGCACTTAATTTAATCGAAAATGATTGATTATTCAACACTGTGTTCGGTATAAGTTCATCGCGTAAAATATCATCAAGAGTCAAACCAATTCCTTTGAGATAAAAGTTACACTGATCACCGATGACACAACTACTTAGTTCTGGACCTAAAATATTGAATATATTTTGGTAAGAGAGTAATGAAGAAATTTAGTTTCGGCAGTCTGATTTTTTCTCACATGAAAAGGTTTTCCAGTGTATTGAAATATCTACATCTTTCACTACTGATTTCGAGAAATAGAAAAAATTATGGAAGAAAGTTTTACTTTTGTAAGATTTTGAGTCTTCGAAAACTTCACATCCGTAAAGATTTGAAAGGCTGTAAGTATGAACATCAAACATATGGAAAATCTCTTTACAATTGACGCCAAGCAGATGTCTTTTTTTAACAGATTAATCGACTCACAGATTTTGAAAACTATTTAATTCAATAACTCGATAGATCTTTTTCAAAACCTAAGATAACAATTGCTCACTAATAAAAAAATGTACAAGAAATCCTCTTTTCCCATTTTTTATGCCATTATATATTTGTTATAGAAAAAATCATCCGAATACTTACTAAAAGGACTAAGACTGACATTGGCTGGTCCAGAAATAAAAACAGAAAAGTCCCCAATTATCTTAGGTTTTTGTGTTGTCACAACTAATATGTATCGAGTGTTGATCGTGAGATCGATGATTAATTTGAAGTGTCCATCATTACATTCACCATCATGTGACAGGAGTAAATTTTCAGATGGTTTTAGAGGATTGAAATCATTTTTGTAGATATATCCATATGTATTAATATTACTTTTACTCCAAAGAACATACAAACCCGTTGTATTGACATGAATTTGTAATGTTTCATAATGACATTGCGGTACTTGACAATCACGATAATATCTTGGATTATCATCAGTTAATTTTGACGAATACACTAATTGAATATTTACTGGAGTACCTGTTCAATTAAAAAAATCAAATAATTTATAGAATTTCGATACTATTACAAATTTCTGTCTTCCATATTCCGTTTAGAAAGTATTTATTGATTAATCAAAAAACAGAAATAGTTAGATAACTATCCGTCCATGAAACTATAATCTTGGATTGACGGAAGCGAAATCTTTAAGATTTTCTGAAAGCATTTAATTTCACAAATAGAGAATAAGAAATGTAGCAAGCCCACGTCCTCCAAGTGAGTACTCTTCAATCAATATACTACAGAAATCTAAGAGTGTCGAGTTATAGCAAGATACTTTTTAGGTTCTAGTAGCTGACTCTTGAATGTTTCTAAAAATCTCATCGATAAATCTTTTTAGAGCATTTTTCATTTATTATATGTGAAAACTAAACAGTATCCATCTACAAAGACAGTGATAGCAAAATACAAGAGTGGATATCCTGCTAGAAAACGCCTTAATATCAGATAGTAAGAATTCAATACATTCTCTAAGTGTAGAATAAAAGATGGAATTGAATTTAGAAGATATACTGTGTATTTCGTACGAATTATTTAATATATAACACAAGTATCTATATACTTACTAAGACGCTCGAGAATAACTTTCTTTTTACCCGCCACAATGATCGAAAATTCTCCAGTTTCTTTTGATTCATATGTTGTCATAACCAATACATATAACATGTGAGCATCAAGATGAACATCAAGTTTGAACTGAATATCGGAACCATCATCGTCATCTGTTTTAAGTAAGTTATCGGATGGATCAAGTGGATTAAACTTGTTTTTGTAAATAGATCCATATGAATCGATGTTACCACTACTACGAAAAGTGTAGTAACCAGTTTCGATCACCTTCACTTGAATGGATTCATAATACAAATTCTGTTTGTCACACTCTCGGTAATATATTTGATTGTTCTTAGTCAATGATGATGAATATGTATTTTGGAGAACCGATAAAGTATTGGCTACATAAGCAATAAAATCAGTTTAAGTGTATCGTGAGTACACAAAGATGCAAGTCTTCTTTAATATGACTTTCTGCTTACTTTGAATGTGCGTCCCTAACCTATTGAACTGATAACTTGTGTTCAAAAAGTTAAAAAACTGTTTTTTAACCACAAAGTATTTGAAATGAATTGAATTTATTCTGCAATATTGCTTATTTTTCGATGTTTTGAAAAGAGAAAATATCATGTAGGTCGAACAGTGTCGAAAAGAATCTACTTAAATTCGTTGAGCGACATGTACAGTACAATGTTTGACTTTTATACGAAATTTAAAAATTCGAAACAAAATCTGATCAGTGAAACGAGAGAGAGAAACTTCTGAATCATCGAATTTAACTAAGGATTATTTCCCAATCAATCAATCAAATAAAAGATAATGTTGTGTATGTCGATCAGATTGTTTCTAAGTAACATCTAAGAAGTTCTGTGTGTTATTCTTTTAAAAACAATCAATATCTTTGACGTTTTCTTCTGATAAGATAGTTATCTTCACATGAAGGTGAAAATGTTTGAATAAAGAATATTTTTAGTCAGTTGAAATTTCTTATCTGAAATAAACTTCCTTAATTTATATTGAAATTCTTAAATTAATCAATTATATTTCATTTACACAGTTTTAATTTTTGGATCAGAAAAGCTCCATGCACAGTTTTTACTTTTGATTCGAACTTCGGTTTTTTCTAACAAACACTATACAACTTTTCACTATCAATATTCACATCGCATCCTCTCATTCGATTATATTCCAACCTACCACAAGATTTTTTTACAAAATTAAATTGTTGAATTCGATCATTAAATAAATCAGTAACAAGCATGTTTCCAGAGCGATCAAAACCAAAACTAGATGGATAGTTCAATTGATTGGATTCTGGGTCCTTTGCATAACATCCAACTAAACATCGAAAACCATTCAAGCCTGAACCAATAATTCGATGATTGTTGTAATCCACAATGAATAAATATTTCTCAGCATCTAATATAATTCCACTGGGACAAAAAAGTGTAATTGTTGGAGGCCATGATCCACCTCCAGCTACTACGATGCCATTTGACTGTCCTGACTGGAACAACTGAACTCGACTATTATAACAATCTGCCACATATAAGTCCAAATTCACATCCACGAAAATTCCACGAGGACCATTGAGTTGATTCAAGCCTGCCCCTGTACTACCTGTTCCAGCAGCAACACGATTTGAAGCTATCACAGAATCACGTAATGATCTTTTCACTACTTGATGATGATCAGACATCGAACAGTAAAGAGTATCATTGATATCGACAAACAAACCATTACATGATGAGTTGACATTCATCACCGTGGTAAAGGTATTTGTTTTTGTTGCCCATTTCTGCACTTGACCATTCTTCTCACCATCATCAATATAAATATCATCATTTGGTGTAACGAAGAGAGAAGTGGGTGCTGTAAAATTACCGTGAATGATCTTTGTTGGATTGACACTCTCTTCATGCCATATTAGAATTGTGTTATTCTCTCGATTAGCAATATAAATTGTGTTGTTTGTACTCGCAAAAATGGCGCTAGGATCTTCACCAACAATTGATCGATTAGCAAAGATAGTTCCATTGGAAAACCACTTGGCTTTTGAACAAAACTTTGGTTGATTGAATGAAAGAGCTAAAAACAAGAAAATTAGAACATTAGAGAAGAACTGTAAACGAAATGAAATCATTGATTTCTACCGGGTGTGTGCCATAATAAATGGACCACTCAGTATCTTCGCAATATTTCTCTCAAATTTTGACATACATACTTGAATTTTTTTCAAAAGATAGCTCGCGAAATTCTCTACAAAAAACTTATGGAAAGAGCTCTTCAAACGAGTAACTATGAAATTATATCCGAACGATGCTTCAATGGTCTAAAATGGACTACTTTCAAAGCCATATTTTTATAAAATCAATTATTTCATTTTTTTAGCAAAATAGATATGAGACCGAACTCTGAATGAAGTTTCCTGTGTTTTCAGATGCACTCTTCCTAACAGAGCTCAAAAGAGGATATTCTGACAGGATTGTGGCGTCTCAGGGCTCCATCTTTTTCGAAAAGAAGTCAAAATCATCGATAGTTCCCGTTATACACGTCATGCGTTGCAGAAAAAAAGACTTTTCAGCATTCTGTCTTTATCAAAATGATAGAGAAAACGTTTTTCTTCTACTTCCTAATAAACCTGAACACGTTATGATTTTCCGTTAAACATAACGAAGATAAAACTGCGATGCATCTCAATGAAAGATTCCCAGGGCGCGAATAGAGCGAATTGGAGAAAAGGTTTTGTTCAGGTAAATTTACAGTATATCAAAAAGCCTATTCTCTCAACTAATAGAGCTTTTTATGGGTTACAGAATGGCTTATTCACTCTCTTTGTTTGTGCTTAAAAAAGCGACGCCAATTCGTTAATATGAACAGCAGTGCTTTGAAAGTAGTCCATTTTAGACCATTGAAGCATCGTTCGGATATAATTTCATAGTTACTCGTTTGAAGAGCTCTTTCCATAAGTTTTTTGTAGAGAATTTCGCGAGCTATCTTTTGAAAAAAATTCAAGTATGTATGTCAAAATTTGAGAGAAATATTGCGAAGATACTGAAAGGCCCATGTATTATGGCGCACCCGTTATTATGATAAATATTCAAAGAATAAATCATCAACCAAATATTTCTTTATAAGAAAATTCATTTTTTATAATACTTGATATTGAAGTTTATCTCTCTCAAAGAGAAACAATCACTAAATTCATTTTGCACAAAAAAAAGAAGGAAACTTAGATGTTAGAATTGTTACATTTTATCTATCCTATTTTTCTTGAATAAAACATATCGAAATATGAAGCGAAATCATAGAAAAATTTATATTAAAACTACAGCGACAAAGATATGAAGAGATTGTTTTTCGATAAAAACTGTTTTATTGATGAAATATTTTTTGAGATATATAAAATGAAATATCAAAGCCTTTTCTATCACTCCATTAAGGACACAACTTTTTCTTTCTCTGTTCTTTGGTCTGAAAAAAAAGGCGGAGATTGTCTGTCTTAGACGATTGACATATGACTTCATCTGATTTGAGCATTTCATTTCCTTAGATACATTCTTTTACACGTTTGTCTAATTAATCTTTCTCAACCATTTTTGTTTTCTTTTGTTTTTTATATTGAAATGTCTTTATCAACTTCTGTTACTTATCTATTCATATCTCTTTATTTCATTTCACTTTTCTTCGACTTACCAAAAGAATCTTTCATCAATAAAAATTTTTGAATTCGAGAGTTTACTAGATCAGTAACAAACATGTTTCCGGAATGATCGAAACTCAAACTAACTGGATTATCCAACTGATTGGATTGTGAACCTCGTCCATAACACCCAACTAAACATCGAAAACCATACAAGCCCGAACCAACAATGCGATTATTGCCAGTATCCACAATGAATAAATATTTCTCAGCATCTAATATAATTCCACTTGGACAGTTAAGTTTAATTGTTGGATTTAGTGATTTACTTCCAGCTACTGTGATGCCATTTGATTCTTCTGACTGGAATAACTGAACTCGATGATTTTCATAATCAGCCATATATAAATTCAAATTTATATCGATAAAAATTCCAAGAGGGCTTCTGAGTTCATTCGAGGCTGATCCAAAATTACCTGTTCCAGCAGCAACACGATTTGAATTCATCACAGAATCATTTAATGATCTTTTCACTACTTGATGAGAATGTTTCATCGAACAATAAAGAGTATCATTGATATCAACAAACAAACCATGACATCCTGATTTGACATTCATTACTGTGACAAAGGAGCTTGTTTCTGCTATCCATTTCTGCACTCGACCATGCCATAATCCATCATTAATATAAATATCACCATTTGATGTAACGAAGAGAGAAGTGGGTGCTGTAAGATTACCGAAAATGATCTTTGCTAGATTGAAACTCTCTTCATGCCATATTAAAATTGTGTTATTTTCTGGATTAGTAGCATAGATGGTGTTGTTTATGCTCACAAAAATAGGGAAAGGTTCGCGACCAATAATCGATCGATTAGCAATAGTAATTCCATTGGAATTCCAAGTGGCAGTTGGAGAAAACTTTGGTTGATTGAATGAAAGAGCTAGAACGAGAAAAATAGAAAGAATATTATAGAAGAACTATAAACAAAATGAAATTGTTAGTTTATCTTTTTCCGTGAAAAAATTCATTGAGATTAATTTTGAAAAGAGTTCTACGGTTATTGTTCTATTTTTTCAGATGATTTGTAAATATCAACTTATAGAAGACTGAATTTATCGAAAAAGATCAATTTTATTTGTTGATTCTTTTGTTAGTAAAGAAAAATAGTTATGTTCAATCCTTGGAAAGATTTGATTATAATTGAAGACAAAAAAAATAATCAAATAATTATTTTTATTTATTCAATGAAAATGAGTTCGATATCGAGAGAAGATTCCAGTAATGGTCAAGTTTTCAATCTTTTTGAAACTATCAATCGATAGAAACTCAGATATTTACAACGCTATCAATCATTATTTTGCTCAATAGCTGATCTTCAGTATGTGATAAATAAAAGTATTTACCTGATGTTTCATTGTCGAGAATGAACAGAAGAATAATGATAAATATGTAGTTATTCAACATTATTCAACAAGAGCTTTTTTGATAAATTAGTTAACTAATAGAATAATCTTCTTCTTCTCCTATACTTTGTCTTCGATGAAAACAAAATGACAGTTATTGTAGTTTTGCTGTCTAGTTATATATCTCTCTTTCTCTCTCATTTACTTCTTCGAAGATAACACACAAAGAGAAAAAATAGTGTTCTAGAGAAAGTTTTGTCGTAGGTAAAATAGAAAATTGATTTTAGATTAAATTAATGAACAAAACTGATGATTTAAGTTTATATTTTTCATTGGATTTCATTCTTTTTGAAATTCGAAAACACAGAATGGAATTTAAATTCAATATGATCCTTTTCTTTTTCTTTTGAATTTTATAGAAAATCTTTGATTTTAGTAAAGAAGAACGTGATAAAGAGAAAAGAGAAAAGAGAATTGATCAAAATCTACCTTGATGATCGGACGTGTTTTAACTAAAAATAAGATATCAACTATCATCGTCAACAAATGATAGACGTCAATGAATAAGTCATGATTAGTTTGATATTTGTTTTTATTTGATTCTGTTAAATAATCTGCTTTGTCAGGACTCACTTTAACCCTTAAAAGCCGTATGTCCATTCCAGTGGACATCGGAAAATT